AATTTTTCTTGTTCTACAATTTTTTACAAACCTCCAATTTTTTTAATGATCCTAACTGAATCCTCCTAGTGATCTTAATGATCTTCTCACTTCCAGTTCTTAAAAATTCACGATGATGATAAATGATAAAACGATAGAAGCACAGTGCAAAAGTGCAAATTTTGGATTTCTGGATTTTAGACGTTAAACTATCCAATCTTATACCTATATTTGGTAAAATATTATACAAGAAATTCTGATGTCGAGATTAAATATATTCTGAAAAATTCAGATTCCTATTTTTAAATTTTTTTAATGATCCTAACTGAACCCTCCTAGTGATCTTAATGATCTTCTCACTTCCACTTCCTAAAAATCCACGATGAGTAAATGATAAAACGATAGAAGCACAGTGCAAAAGTGTAAATTTTGGATTTCTGGACGTTAAACTATCCAATCTTATACCTATATTTGGTAAAATATTATACAAGAAATATTCTGATGTCGAGATTAAATATATTCTGAAAAATTCAGATTCCTATTTTTAAATTTTTTTAATGATCCTAACTGAATCCTCCTAGTGATCCTAGTGATCTTCTAATTTCCACTTCCTAAAAATCCACGATGAGTAAATGATAAAACGATAAAAGCATAGTGCAAAAGTTCGATAAAATATTATACAAGAAATACTTCGATATCGAGATTAAATATACTCTGCAAAATTCAGGGTTTCTATTTTTAAATATTGATCTACTGTTTACCAAAAAATCAATAAGAAATTATTATTTAAAATCCAATTACCCCCAACACAGTTCAAATTTTTCCTGTTCTACAATTTTTTACAAACCTCCTATTTTTTTAGTGATCCTAACTGAATCCTCCTAGTGATCTTAATGATCTTCTCACTTCCACTTCCTAAAAATCCACGATGAGTAAATGATAAAACGACAGAAGCACAGTGCAAAAGTGTAAATTTTGGATTTCTGGATTTTAGACGTTAAACTATCCAATCTTATACCTATATTTGGTAAAATATTATACAAGAAATTCTGATGTCGAGATTAAATATATTCTGAAAAATTCAGATTCCTATTTTTAAATTTTTTTAATGATCCTAACTGAATCCTCCTAGTGATCCTAGTGATATTCTAATTTCCACTTCCTAAAAATCCACGATGAGTAAATGATAGAAGCATAGTGCAAAAGTTCGATAAAATATACAAGAAATACTTCGATATCGAGATTATATATACTCTGCAAAATTCAGGGTTCCTATTTCTAAATATTGATCTACTGTTTACCAAAAAATCAATAAGAAATTATTATTTAAAATCCAATTACCCCCAACACAGTTCAAATTTTTCCTGTTCTACAATTTTTTACAAACCTCCTATTTTTTTAGTGATTCTAACTGAATCCTCCTAGTGATCTTAATGATCTTCTCACTTCCACTTCCTAAAAATCCACGATGAGTAAATGATAAAACGACAGAAGCACAGTGCAAAAGTGTAAATTTTGGATTTCTGGATTTTAGACGTTAAACTATCCAATCTTATACCTATATTTGGTAAAATATTATACAAGAAATTCTGATGTCGAGATTAAATATATTCTGAAAAATTCAGATTCCTATTTTTAAATTTTTTTAATGATCCTAACTGAATCCTCCTAGTGATCCTAGTGATATTCTAATTTCCACTTCCTAAAAATCCACGATGAGTAAATGATAGAAGCATAGTGCAAAAGTTCGATAAAATATACAAGAAATACTTCGATATCGAGATTATATATACTCTGCAAAATTCAGGGTTCCTATTTCTAAATATTGATCTACTGTTTACCAAAAAATCAATAAGAAATTATTATTTAAAATCCAATTACCCCCAACACAGTTCAAATTTTTCCTGTTCTACAATTTTTTACAAACCTCCTATTTTTTTAGTGATTCTAATTGAACCCTAGTGATCTTCTAATTTCCACTTTCTAAAAATCCACGATGAGTAAATGATAAAACGATAGAAGCACAGTGCAAAAGTGCAAAAGTTCGATAAAATACTCTGCAAAATTCAGGGTTCCTATTTCTAAATATTGATCTACTGTTTACCAAAAAATCAATAAGAAATTATTATTTAAAATCCAATTACCCCCAACACAGTTCAAACTTCCCCATCGCTGTTCTACAATTTCCTACAAACCTCCTACCATTTTTCAGCGAATCTCCTTAAATCCTTAATTCCCAGCCTTCCCCGCGTCCAAAAATACAAACGTCTCCTCCTCCACTTCCTGAAAAAAATCCGCGACGAGTAAATGATAAAACGATAGATTTTTGGAGCAAGGTTTCTTGCGGCTTGACGAAAATTCAGGGGAGGGAGGTGGAAAGGGAGGGAGGAAACATGGGGGGAGGGAGACGAGCGTTCGAGCGGATTAAGGGGCGGGGAGGGAAGAAAAACATGACGGGGATCATTGGCGGGAGATTTGGAGGAAAGCGGGGCGAGATTGGCCGGGAAATCCTCGGGAGCATTACCGAATCGGTGCGCGTGGCCGCGTGCGAGTTACACGGCCGCAAGGAGGAAAACAAAGGAGAAAAGGGATCCTATGAATTCGTGAGTGACTTCGGATATCACGTTCCCCACCAGTCTGCCACACGTTTCCTTTCCCCTCCCTCTTCCTCGTACGAGCTCACGTGTCCCCGCCGCTACTGCCTTCCCAATCCTTGCTTTTATTCGCGTTTTTAAATCGAACACAGGAACGTCCTTATTCTCGGATCAATTCTTTTTCGCTGAGAGATAGAGAATGAGGTTCTTTAATTGGTCGAGTTGAGGAATTTGATGGACAATTTGATAAAGTTCGACCTGAGATATAAACGTCTTTTATTAATTTTTATTTCTGAGAATTTTTAGATTAATTTATTAAATCGGATTACACGTGTTTCTATATATGAATTGTTCAATTTTTTCCCTCTTTTTTTGTAGAAGTAGTCTGACTTAATTATCACATTAATATATATATATATATAGGAGAAGAAGAACTTTGAATTCTTGAATCTATATTTTTGAAGAGATTTGTATTTCTTCTCCATAAATAAATCTTTTCTCGAAAGCTCGACAAATTGATCGTATAATAAATAAATCCTGGATCGAATGATGATTGTTCGAGAAAAGATTTATTTATCGATAAGAAATACAAATCTCTTCAAAAATATAGATTCAAGAATTCAAAATTCTTCCTCGTTTTCTGCATTCCTATCTCTTATATATATATATACCTATATTAATATGATAATTAAATGAGATTATTTCTACAAAAGAAGAGAGAAAAAATTGTGTAAAGAAATATGTGTAATTCAATTTAATTAATATATATAGAAGAAGAAGAACTTTGAATTCTTGAATCTATATTTTTAAAGAGATTTGTATTTCTTCTCCATAAATAAATCTTTTCTCGAAAGCTTGATTCGACAAATTGATCGTATAATAAATAAATTCTGGATCGAATGATGATTGTTCGAGAAAAGATTTATTTATCGACAAAAAATCTCTTCAAAAATATAGATTCAAGAATTCAAAGTTCGATATATATATAGGAGAAGAAGAACCTTGAATTCTTGAATCTATATTTTTGAAGATATTTGTATTCCTTATCGATAAATAAATCTTTTCTCGAGAAACCTTGACTCGACAAATTGATCCTGGATCGAATGATGATTGTTCGAGGATAAAAATTTAGAGCCGCCGTTTCGAAGCCAGCGACCGCGGAATGCAGGATTTATCAAGGGTTGGGAGGTGGAAGACCTTGCTGTTCCTTCCTTCGAAACGAAGGAAAATTTCAGTGAAAGAGAGATATGAATTTTCATTGGGAAGTCGGACGGATAAATTCTCTGTACGCTCGCCTATTATGTAGATAATCGGGCGACAGAATTTACGTACCCACGAAAACGAAGCCGTTGGAGTACATTTGCCGGGAGCGTTCTCGCGTTTTTTTAAACTTGCTCCTTTCACGCGCGCGCAAAATTATCCAAACCCTGCTCCCCACATCTTCAAATTGAATCTTTAAAGGAAAAATCTCGAGAATTCGAGATTCTCTTTGCACAGACTCTTGTATCGTAACACGAAAGATATTAAATACATTTTCAATATTTCGTAATTTTTCATCTCTTCTATACTCTCGTCACCTTTAATATGACAAACATTTAAATGCACAGAGTGTTCGAATATCTTTGCAAGATTGATTCGAAGCGGAAAAATGAGTGAAGCTTCTTTATTAAATTGCAAGCAGTTGAAGTTCGACGAGGAGATATACTTTCGTGCAAACCTATAAATTTACTTAAATATATAAATATTTCGCGTGACATTTTTTCATATACCAACCTGAATATACCAAAACCCTGCATAAAACTTAAATATACGCATCCATCCTAATAACGAGAAGATCGATGACAAAGATAAATTCCAAAAGAAGGAATAAAAAAATTTACCAGAGAGGTACTCTCTTTTCCTCCCCTCTAACCCAATTTCACGTCGTATCGTAAGAGATCCCGGCAATATGGGACGAGAAAGCTTCGTGGAAAAAAAAATTTTTCTCCCCCCCCTTCCCCCTCTTTGTTTGTCGTGATTCGTGACTCGTTGAGAAAAGAGAAAAAAGGGGGAGGAAAAATTATGGAACGTGCCTCGCGAACGATAAGCAATTACACGACGCATTTCTCTCTCTCTCTCTCTCTCTCTCTTTCTCTCTTTTTCTTTCTTTTCTTTCTTTTTTTTTTTTTTTTTATTTCCCTCCACTTTCGAAATTTTGCAGCTCGGTGGAAATAGGGTGAACCGTACGAACGCGTTCCCAGCGAAGAGGAAAAGCGTTCGCTCGTTCGTTGGTTCTCGCGACGTTAGCTCGAGTTACCGCGGCCGACATTCCGAAACAATAGACGATGTTCCGTGGGAAAATTAAATTTGCCGATTTCTCTCGTTCCAAGGAAATTCCAAGATTTCCTTTGGGAAAAATATTCGAGAGGCGGGGGATGAGATACTCACCTTTCACCGCGGGATGGTTAGTCGCTCGTCCAGGCGAATATGTTTGCAGTTTCGTGCTTCGAGGGGGTCAACGATCATTGGTGGTTTTTCCTGCAATTGGAAAAAATTGACGGGAAACTTAGTTACGCATAACAGTTGACGTGACGAAAGAATCGTATCGTGTAAAATATTTTCCAACAATTTCGTAATAAATTACGAATAATACGCGCGATATATAAATTTTTAAGAAAGAATACAAATGAAATATCTTATTTACTAGTTTTTTCTTTTTATATAATGATATTTAAATAAATTTTCTGACAAGTGAAATGTATATTATACCATAGAGTTTCTTTTCAAGCAATTTTATATCATTCGTTCGACTAAGCAAAATTGGAAGAAAAAGGGAGAGAGAGAGAAAAGTAAGGTTAAGAAACGGTAAACAGGAAGGATAAATTCGTTTAATCATATAAATGGGCGGGAAATTTAAAAATTTTCACGAGAAAGAAAATTGTCTCGCTCTGATTCGGGAAATGATTCTCGAATACTTCAACTTCTTATTGGATGAGTAATTTTCGTAAAAAAAAAAAAAAAAAAAAAAAAACACCAATGTCCAAAGAAAACGTGGAGATTTCGAGAAAAAACTTCCGGTTTCGGCCAGCATTGATTTTATTCCCCATGTTCGGGAGCCCAATATCCGGCGAAAACTGCTCAAAGAACCGGTCTCATAGTTAGACCTTAAGCGAAAAGGGGAAAAAAAATTCCTCCTTTCGCGCTGATAAAAAGAAGATGATAAACAGTTGCACTGCACAAATGCTCTATTTTATTTTTCTTCTTCGTCGGCGCAACCAAGAACAAATCCGTGGAATATTAAGTTCTTTGAATGTACTATTTCAAGGTAAATAAAAGGTAATTTTCCCTCCCAAGGGATATATATATACTATTTTCTCTAAGAAAATGTTTCTATTAAAATATTTTGATCACTCGCTGTTATAAATTTGTGAATTATTGTGTTTAGGGAAATATTCGTGTTAAAATATCAACTAATATTAACTGTCACCCAGTAGATATACATATAATATATATTCATATATTCGTCCCTGAAAAGTATGCAAATTCTTCTTCCAGCAATTTTCGCCAATTAAAAATGACACCGCTTGTTCCACTCTTTTCTCGAGTTATACGTAGACCCCTTTCTTTCATTTTTTTCTCTTTATTCCCATGTCGTTCCACGATATTTTAAGCGCGAGCAACGCACGTGAAAATACACGCAAATAAAAGACGATTCTTACCGGGTAGAGGCAGGGACGAGACGTCCATGAAACTTCGATGACGACTGAGAGAACGGTCGCGATTTCAAGGGTATGTTAAAGACACATTAATTTACAGCTGTGCAATAAATAGCGTGAATCTGGATCATTCGACGAACAATTGCTTCTTTATCGAGTAAATGGGATGCAGAACAGTTTAGATAAAAATAATTGAATAATAAGAGAGGATATTATTCGTGATTGTTAAAAAAAAATTGATATACTTTTATTATAACCAATCGCGTCGTTTGCGCTTGGCCATCAATAAAATACGAATACTTTTATGCAAAAACGATTAAAAATATTATTTATTATTTCTTTTTTTCTAGTTGTCGTAATCCTATAATTTTATAATTCTTTGTTATAATCTCTATCAAGTTTCCATTCGTTTTGACAAAATAGTTTCTGATTACAAATTGATCTTGATAATATTAACGAGTGTACAATAATTATATTCTTCTTATTATATTTATTACTCTTTTCAATGCAATTCCGATCCTTTTTATATACAGAATCACAATGCGCGAACAAACCCGTCTGATTTTCAAAAAATCAGTGCGCACAATTAAACGAACAGCACGTCCAAACGTCGGGGCTCATCAATTGATCCGCTCATCGAAACTCGCTTTTACATTCGTGGCCAACGTATCGGCCATTTTAATTTCTATTAATAAAATCGCTTGGAACGTGATCAACCCAAGTTGCAACGAAATTCTATCTGTGCGAATGATAACATCGTGAATATAGTCTGAACGCGATTCATAAATTCTTGATAAATAAAATGGCGGGAATGTGCACCGATACTTTTAATGATAACGACATCTAGTAGCTCCATGGAAGATTGTTTCGTCTTTGTCTGAAGAAGAACTGAGAATGAAAACGATATTTAATGAACGCCATCTAGTTTCATGATAATTTCTATTTTATTGTCTAATTGGAAACACGAATACTGTTTATGATATATTCCTTCGAATATCGCACAAATATAATATCAACATGAAAACGACACTTAAAGATACAAAGCCCATAGTAAGAAACGTCATGATAGCTTCGTGATAATTTCTATTTTATTGTCTGTTTGGAAACACGAATACTGTTTATGATATATTTCTTCGAGTATCATACAAATATAAAATATCAACATGAAAACGATACTTAAAGATAAAAAGTCCAAGACATGGTAAGAAACACATATGCTGCTGTTTATGATATATTTCTTCAAATATCACAAATATAATGTTAATATGAAGATGACGCCATCTAGCTTCATTACAGCTTCCATTTTATTGTCTAGTTGGAAACACTGTCATTTGTGATATATTCCTTTGAATATCACACAAATATATTAATATGAAGACGACAACATTTAGCTTCCTTATTCTCTACTTGGAAACAGTGTCGTTTGTGATATATTCCTTCAAATATCACAAATATAATGTTAATATGAAGATGACGCCATCTAGCTTCATTACAGCTTCCATTTTATTGTCTAGTTGGAAACACTGTCATTTGTGATATATTCCTTCGAATAACACACAAATATAATATTAATATGAAGACGACGCCATCTAGCTTCCACTTTATTGTCTAATTAGAAACACAAACGCTGCTGTTTATGATATATTCCTTCAAATATTACAAATATAATGTTAATGTTAATATAAAGATAGTGCCATTTAGCTTCATGACAGCTTCTATCTTATTGTCTAGTTGAAAATACTGTCATTTGTAATATATTATCAATATACATTTGTGTGAAATATAATATAAAATATTGTTTTATTTTATTAGGAAGAGACATATATATTTATAAGCTTAATGTAATCCGAATACGTTATTGAATCGTTAAATATCATAGTCAGTTTCAAAGAAGCATAATTCGTATTACGACGATGTAATTCCAAAAAAGGAATTCAATTCGAGAAACTTTTAAACAGTTTGGGGGAAACTGTCACTACGTATAAAAAATATCCAACCTGGTAATCTTGCGAGAACATTTTCTTACAAAACTTAAACTTTTTGGCACTGAGACTTCTCTTGCATTCAACGGTACAATTAAGGAATAACGCTCGTGCCCGGACCGAGAACACTGATTTCCCCTCGTTTTTCACGCTCTGCATGTTTCTTCTGAACAACTGCTGAACTCGCCTCACGGCGATTTGCCACGGGATGAGTTGGAAAGAAGGGCAATTTCATCGTTGGAGCTCGTAACGAGATAAATCGTCAATTTGCCGATTAGTAAGTCCGTGCAGGAACGATTGCAATTAGTATTCATCGAGTCTTTAAAATTTGATCAAAAATATACACTGGATATACGTATATTTCTTCTATCAATCTAATTTTACCTTGATTAGCAGGTAACAAAGTTGAAAAATTTCTCGAATCATCGATATTTTCCTGCAAGCAATTTCTTTTTTATATTTTCGATCCAATGTATTATTTGATTTTACTCTTTCGCTTTATTAACCATTATTATTATATTATATTATATTATTAAACCATTTTGCACAAAGTATAATTTTAATTACTATTTAGACACACCGTATCTCCTTTCGACAAATCAGAACATGGACGAAAAACTCGCACGTATCAATTTTCCCGACTATTCAGGCTTGATTTATCAAACGACCTATGAAACAAAACGGCGCGTCATCGTATCATCCACAAGGATAATAATTAGAACACCTCGATACACCTCGTGAGAGAAGAATTCACCTCTGATCACGGATCCCTTGTATCGAAGAAAGCCTCGTTAATTGAACGCCGGGGGCAACGTCTTGCAACCGAAAATTACTTCGCTCTTCCAGCCCATCAGTGAACTTCAACAAGAGACTATATAAATCCTCAAAGAGACTATAACCTAAGACCAGCCTAACAGCCTAACGAGATCTGAGAAATGGCCGGAAATCTAAATTTCGCGAGACGCCTTTAATCTATCGCCACGCGGCAATTCACTCGTAACAAACTAGCGCCATCTACATCCAACGTGGCCACCGCTCGAACATATCAACGTTTGTTCGAGCAATTTCCAAATTTTATTTTCCTCGAATCCTCGACTTTTTCGATCTATCTATCAACAATTATCAACACAATTTTTTCAAAATTCCAAGCAACGGAGAGCAAGCGAGAGCACAGATATAATATTTCTGCCACGATTCAAACTGACGTGCGCGAGGCAAACCGACGTGCACGCGACAAACACGAGGTATCCGCGGTTTTTCATCCGCGATCTGCCGATGACAGCGATTACACGCGGAATAACAATGCACGCGGACAGATTTGACTTCGTTCGACGTAACGTAATCAGCAAAGCACACCTGGCGGGGGGCGCGGGGACGGGTTTATTTGATATAATGCGATCGATCGAGTGCAGGCTAGGGGCGAACCGATCGAACGTAAATCCAGCTGGGCGGATTAGCGAATCTGGCGTTACATATATACATATATATATGTATATAATATATGTGTGTGTATATATATATATGTATATATATATATACACATATGCGTGCAATATTTAAGCCTCGTTAAACGCATAATTTCAAATCGGTCGTGGGCTCCGCGTCATATGTTATTGATAACTGTAGTCGCGGACGCGCGGCTCTCTGTTGAATAATGCGCGGATTACGCGGTCTAAACTAAAGCAAACGTCGAATAATTAACAAGACACCGAACCCGCTTTGAAAGGCCGCCGCAAGAGCTCCTGGCGGACCCGCGAGCGTTACGCTTCGGCCTCATTAACTATACAACTCCCAGTCTCTTTGACGCGCGCGAAGAGATTGATGAGTCGGGCTCCGACCG